AAAACATCCTGGTTCATTACCTCTCCTCTCACCCCTCTCACACGAAAAGGGCGCTTGTGAGAAACATGTATCGAACAGCTACCAGCGTGTGCACAGGAAGACAGCAGAGAGAAGAGTCCCTGAACTTGGCGCGGCAAATGTCCAGTTTTAATGGCTACGAAACTGTAGCTCGAGATAGGTGCAGAGGAAACCACAGGTACCTCAACGAAAACTCTAGCAACAACAAGGTCCCGTTTATACTGCTCTTCATTTCAAATGAACTAAGTGCAGTTATAAAACGCTGCTTAAGAAGGTCGGGCCTAGAGAATTCGGTAACGATAATTGAAATACTACCGAGTAATCTAAGACGCCAGCTAGTTCGTAACCCCCTATACGACCTTCTATGTGCAACTCAAAATTGCATAATTCGTCCCAATAGTAGAAATGGTGACTGCATGTGTTCGGGTACAGTCTATCTGATCTCATGTAAAGCGTGCGGGGACGAATACGTTGGCGAAACGGGTAGACCATTCTGCGTCCGTATAAAAGAACACCTAGGCGGCAAACGTAAACCAAGTACTCCACTAGGCACGCGTAGGATACAAAGACATAACGGAGAAGATTTTGATGCAAAGGTTACGATCATTGCGCAAGAATCGAGAACACAACCCGCAAAACTCTAGGGGCATTCTGGATTAATTCCAAGAATCCGAAAAAGGGCCGCAGGTAGGAATGCCTCATTATCACGCGTGATATTGGACAGTATTTAAGCTGTTATTCTGATGGGAGGGACACATTACGCTTTTATGTGTATTCTGTATTCGGTCGGACTTCACACGCCATACTCAGTGGAAGACTCATACAAAGCGGTGAGTGTGCAGAGCTATGCTAAATATGAATGAAATCTTGGTTTAGCGTTTTCTCTGTCTGGTTATGGAGGTGTTTGGCCGAATGGGTTGCTGTCAACTTGACCCTTCCAGGCTCTGAAGAAGCCGAAATCCGCCGAAACGTTAGCTTGTACGTAAATAAAGAAATAAAATAGCACCTCGTGTTTGCTGAACAGAAGTTGAAAGATATATTCAATCAATGCCGAGGTTAATGGAAAGTCGGACTTGGAAGTTACTGATTATTCTGTTAGCAAATGAGATCTAATTTACCCTTCTAGACACCCAAACAAACACGAGATTGATAAGAAGAGTTATAAAAACTGAATCTGACATACCTATTTGGAGCTTGCTTCGTCCTTCAACACCATGTCCCGGTTGGTTGTCTTCATGCAAGGATCCCTCGACTCAATACACTCCACTCCACAACGCCTCACTCCATGGACATCACCATGTTTGCAAGTCGGCTTTTTTTCTTCACGGTCGCATTTTTTCGACTCATAGATTATCTTTACGTTTTCTACTCTTCAGAATATTAGTAGAATCCGATCGATTACTAACATCAGCGCGAGACAAGAGAGGATGCGTGCCATTGCATTTAGCGTCATGGAACGGACATTTCGAAGCAATGAAGGTTTACCAAACATCATGACTTTACACAAATATGCTACATTTATTCTATCTTTTGAATCAATTTGAGAGACTAGTAAGTTGTTTAGTGAAGACTACTTTAAAGCATTATTTTCTTACTCTGCAGTTACTTGTGGAATTCGATACGGATAGTGTTGACGCTGTCAATAATGCTCAGGAGACTCCCTTACATCTTGCTGCTCAACACGGACATGACAAAGTAGTGCGTGTACTTCTAGAGGTCTGTATACCCTTCGTAAACTTCGGAATTTTTGACAGCTACCTTATTTTAAATCTGAACTACTCTACCTCTATTATTTTATAATATCCATATATTGAAATTATGTTAGTTCTCTGTATTTTGCTAAAAACTTTCTTCTTAACTGGAGTTCGCAGATGGCAAGGTGTTGCCGATTGTTTTTTTTGTTAATTTTTGTCATTTTTGATAATTATTGTACCCACGAGGTAGATGTTTAGCGCAGTGCTTCGAGATGCCTTGCAACGCACAGGTGATATTTGTTTCAATTAGGAAACTAAACCTTTTATCCTTCGGAGGGTCGAGAAATTGGTGCTAGACTTATCTGGGTTGAAAAGAAAACAGTGGCCTTATATCTACAAAAATTATTATGTAGACCAAATATACATTCAGTCATCTCTGCAATGGAGAATAGAATCGAATGCTTGTTGCATCCAAAAGTTTTGATTAGTACCGCACAATTTATCTTTGTTATCGCATTATAAAGGCGCTTGTGGCGCAGTATTCGGAGGCGCGTTGCTACACACACGTGGAATCGATCTCCGTGCCCATGGCCCACCAAGTCTTCCATTTTTTCGGGGTTGGAAAATTGATACCATACTCGTCTGGGGTGGTAGCAGCGCCGGATCGATACATCGGTAGGCCACGGCGAGTCATTGTAAAATCAAATATGCATTTAATGTCCTCGAAACGATGCTTAATGAAGTCGAATGCATAGCGCATCCTTCAGAGATTGATCAACGTTGACATCTTTACCATTTTCATCGCTCCATATCTAGGGGTCATTGGTAGAGATCGAAGGAACTTAAAAGGATGAAAGATAAAACTCTCGGCGTTGATCAATCGTTCAGGGATGCGCGATGCATTCGCCTTCATTAAGCATCGTTTGGAGGTGATTGAATGCATAGCTGGCCTTTAAAATGACTCGCGGCGACCTACCGATATATCGAGCCAGTGCTAATATCCTCCCAGTCCAGTCTGGTAGCAATTTGCCGATCCCGGAAGAATGGAAGGCTTGGTGGACCATGGGCGCCAGGATCGATTCCGCGTGTGTGTTGCAAGGCGCCTTCGACCACTGCGCCACACGCGTCCTCAATGGAACTTACCTCTCCGAAATTATTTGCTAACGTGCCACCTGTATCACATGTAGTTTCGTTCATCATTTACTCGAGGTGGTAGTAGTACACTGAATTCGTCCTTTTCATGCTACGCGGTGAGCCTCGCGTGTTTGACGGAAACGAAAACCATCACAGGTTTGGCAGGATGCCCTTTGTGCTGCTTCTGACAATAACGAAGGCTCCGGTAGCACGGTAGCATAGGATGAAAGCTATGATATTTCTCTTATCTAGGACCTCGTAATGGAAATAGCTTTCTGATCTCCAGCTTTAGTGACCCATCAGGGGAATAAACTCCCGCTATTCATCGCAGTTGACTACCCAGGAACGTCCCGCAACTGCGAAAGAGCCTTTTAGAGGAGAGCGGATTGGATTTTGTGTAGTTTATAAATGAAGATCAATGTGAAGGGAGAGGAGCGATCGTTTGTTAGAAGTATACATCGCGCAGTGGATCCATAGATAAAACTTTGCTAACGCACAAACAAGATATCCAATAGCTTTATCAATTTCACAAGTTCGGAATTCATCCATTATTGTAATCGGGCTACTTGAGATGAGTGAAAGAACAAAGATTATTGGGTCAATAAAAATGATTTCTTGAAATGAAGAATGAAATTGGAGGCAAACATCTGATAAATTTCAGCATCACGCTGATCCTCGTCTTCGTAATGCTCGTTTTGAAACACCTCTTGATGTCGCAGCTCGAACCGGGCATGCTGTTGTGTGCAAAATACTCGTTGGTTTTTGTCCAGAGCTTGCTTTACAAGTACGTGTCTTTGGTTATTTCTAAAAAGAATAGCTTTTTAAATCGATGATAGGAAATAGCACGAACACATGTCTTCATAGTAGTGAAATTTTATCGTCCTCTTAGAAATGAGTGCTCAAGAATCTTTTGGTGCAGCTAACTTTTGTATTTAAATACTTCGTTTGTAGTCTGCTGTTGATTGCTCATCTACTGGTGAGAATGGTCAAATCCGAGCTCAAGTGGTCTATCCTCTTCACGCTGCAGCAAGACATTCACATATTCAGTGCCTTCAGGTAACAAATACCTAAAATTGCAGTGATTTTTTCTGGGCATTCAACAGTGTTCCGATTTTGGTCTGTTTTTTTATTGTTAACAATTTTTGGTGTTCGATTGCTTGATGGGCTCCCTCCAATATATTTCTTCGATCGAGCACAACGCTAGAGCTTCTATACTTGCATACTCCGTCATTAGGAAGCATCTTGCAGAACCATAAATTCTATATGAAATTTCACTATTTCGGAAGTTTCTTTTTTCTTGTTTCTTTGCAAATGCATATCGATTAAGCCAAAGGATATTCTTTATATAAAGGATGACTTCAATATGTCTTGCTGCAAAAAGGTATCGAATTCCTTCTCATACTGGGTAAGCCTAATAGTTGATGGTTGACTCCAGCGCTGAAAATCCACACCTATTTCCAGCACCAGTGAGCACCCTATGGGAACAGTTTAAATCACGAAAGGTTGTTTTTATTAATGTTTGATTAGTCGAAATTTTTTCATATACTGAGCATTAAACTCGGCTTGAAAATTTCTATCAGGAATGACAGCAGAGACTATTTTGCGTTGCAAGTGAACTGAATATGTTCTTGCAAAAACACTCCGGGTTTCCTCATTATAACTGCAAGCATACGTGTCTTTCCTCTTCTCCTTCCTATTACTCTCTCAATCAAAATAAGCTACTGTTGATTTTCGCTGCTGAGCTGATTTTTTTATGTATTGGTAGTTAAATCGTAGAACCTTCGTTTTCGCTGTCTCACTATTTCTACTCAACGAAAAATACCTCAGCAAAAGCTGAAATGAACAAATCGGAGTGGTTAGATTGAAGCTTAGAGCCTAATAGCTACTGATTTAGCAGTGTGGGCCACTACTGTTTTTCATACAAAAAAGTAAGGGTAAGGATAAAGCTCTCCGCGGTGATCAATGCCCGAGTGGTGCGCTATGCATTCGATTTCATTAGGTATCGTTGCGGTGATTGAATGCTTATCTGGCCTTTAAAATGACTCGTGGTGGCCTACCGATGCATGAGACCAGTGCTGATATGCTCCCAGAGACAAGTCTGGTACCAATTTGCAGACCCTGTAGTGGTACAAGGCTTGGTGGGCTAGTGGCACGGGAATTGATCCCATGTGTATTGCGGACGCCTTTGACCACTTCGCCACATGCCCCCTACAGAAATTAATGTCCCTTAATTTGCTGAATTTATCAGTTTTGAATAGGACATTAAGCAATTAAACTTATAGCAGGATTATTATAGTTTTTGAGCTGTTAGAAAATCTTCCTCTCAGATTTTGCGATTGGGTGGCTTTGACCTCGACTTCGTCACTGACGAAGGGTCTGCTCTTCATGTAGCAGCAGTGTTTGGACAAGTTGAAGCAGTCAGATATCTAACCGATGAAGGTAAAATAGAATGTGTTTGTTCGCTGGTTTCTGTTTTGATTAAAGTAGTCAAATTCTCGACTGTTCCATCATTCGATTAAGCGGCATTTTAAAATCAAATACGTTGAAATTCGAAGCTTGGATAAAGACCACAACTTTCACATCTTGATGTTCTTTGGAATGAAGGAAGATCCTTGTTCTAATTTTAAATTGAGAAATCAATTACGCTTAAGCGTGAATGTGAAGACTTGGTCTTAAGAAGCTAATTCCTGCATTTTCTGCATGCACTTCTGAGTCTCGCATCCATCATCTACGAAGGTCGTAGGATTAGCGCGTGGGTTCAGCTGCTGCTTGAGTGCTTCTGGTCGTGTTTATGAATTTCGTGGAATGCTGGTCGAGTTCATTTTTCCTGAAACGGTGTGACAGGGATAATTCTACTGGATCGTTTCCTTGAGAGGATGGTAGGCTTTTCTTGCCCAGTGCACTGTCGAACTACGATCTTGCGCCTACTGAACAGCATCTATATCACTGCGGCACTCGAGTCCATGTAGAAAGCAAAGTTGATAAATAGCATCCACTTCTCACAATTTACTCCAATTATCCCATTACGGTTAAACGAGAAGGTAACTGATGCAAACTCAAACAAAAAACTTTAATTCAAAATCGAATAAAATTATTTAAAGGAAAATGTAATGGTATCAGACATGCCGAAGGTTGAGCAAAAACTTAGCGAAAATCGCGTTTGAACCTTAACAGTTAGATAACTGATAATGAACGAAGAGTTAACTTTGTCTCAGTGAACCATTTCATTTCCGTGTTAACAAAGTCTGGATTTGTTGTGAAATTTTCAGGAATCAATCCTCATATTCGAGATAGCAAAGGGCGAACAGCGCTTGATGTGTTGCGTGAGCACGAAGGAAATCAAACATCTGATCTTACTTATATAATACAGAGTCGCGAAGGATGGAGTGAATGTCGAAAGATTATTGATGGTATGAAAAATTCAACAACACATCATTTCGTGTTTTTCTTACGTAGTACTGCTGACGAACTTTACTTGCTATAATTTTACTTGATTTTAAAAGTATTCCCTTGACTTCTACGGTTTCTTCAAGGCATAATTGAGTATAGTCTTAAGCATTGAATCAAAACCTTTTTTTTAAGGCTACATTCAACGCCTCGAATCCGAGCACTTCAACTCGTCCAGCGATTCGGGCATCGATCGAAGAGATTCGGAGCGAAGTATCGTCGACGAAGACGTGATTGGTGATATATGGCGTCCGTTGCCATCTATTTCACATGGTAATTTACAAAATGACGCTTTTTTTCTGTGCCGACGTTATTGCTCCAGTTCGTCATCCACATGATAGAAAGTTTCCCAACCACAGTAGTAATGCGAAAATGTGCAACTTTCTTCTGAAATTTATCTATTGCTCACTTTTTGGTGTTAGAACTTACGGCTTCTTGTGTCGAGGAAAGTATGGTATTTATGAGGGCGCTTAAATTTCGTTCGGGCTCGTTAGATTCACTTCATTCAAACAATAGTCACATTTTAAAATGAATATAAGATTATCACTTTCAGTCATTTTATTGTGTTTTTTCTCTTTTTAAAGGGTATACCATATTTTTTGATAGCATCGTCAACATCGAGGCCTTCATTGCATGAAGTCAAGGAGGAGGCTGTCGAAGGAAAATCTACCGTACAGGAGGTACATTTCCATGTAAATACAGATATCCTCAGCTTAGCTATACAGATGTGTCAAAATGACCGGTCATTTACCTTTATCACCTGAATCACTGTCACGCGTACCAACAAGCTAATCCTGTTTAACATCGAACTATTCAAGCACGTGTATAGGACCAGTATATCTTTTATATGAGCGACTTTACTTCACCACTTTTCGTTTCGTTGTATCCAAGGATAGCACACATGGCTGGACCTAATCCCGTCTAGTTTGCCTAGCTTTATCGAAGTTTACCCAGGCTTAATTGTTGAAGGTGGCTTTCGACATTTGTCATGCGTCACATGAGAGAAGACTTGTGGTCTAGTCAATATACACAGATGAAATTGTATAGACAACCACACTGACATAGACCCGACTACGTGTACATTTCGCTATTAGCCACGTAACTTTCACCTAATACGGGCCACATAACTTCGCTATTGACCAAACCTGATTTGACGAACACACGCTCATATGCAGCTTGTCGAACTCTGTGTTTACATAGATGTACTATCAGAGTGTACTCCTTTTGAGTGGGAAAAGAACATTTTTTTTTCGCATTCATCATCCAAGATGGCCTTCCAACTTCCGTTTGGATTCGGTTGCTGCTTGAGAATTTTTGGTTCACTTTATGAATGTCGTGCAATGCTAGTCATCTCGTTTCTACCTTAAATATTGGTGCAATCATACTACGATGTTCCTAGCCCTTCCTCACGGGTAAGTCGCTGTCGCTGTGGATTGCAGGGAGACAGTTAATCCTAGGCAAGTATGGGAACGATGTGACGGCCCAAATGAATGGTAAGCTTGGTTGTCCCTGGGTGCGGTTGAGGCAGAGCCTCGTAGTGATTGAACCGCATTATATTGCACTGTTTTCCCAGTGCCTACTACATATAAAATATATGTATGTATATATACCTCTAACAGCTCGGTTAAATATATATATATAAATATATATATATGTATGTATATACGCTTAAGAAATCAGTCACAACGGAAGTTTTTTGAGACCCAAAAAGGAAACAGAGGTTTAAATGGGTTTGATAGGGTTCAAAATACTTCTAAATGCTGACGGTAATGTACTTGCATGATGGATCACAGTAACACATAGTAAATAGCACCATGCATATCATTCATACCCACAGTAGGATAGAGAATGTCTCTCTTACAGTTCTTTCGTGTTCAAAAGCACCAAAACTATCCAATTATTTAAAAAAAATACTTTCTACTCTTAAAACAACAAGAGCATCTGCAGCGGAGAAAATTGCTTGTTTTCCATTATACTGGCCAACCTGAATTCCACACGTCCATTATAGGTTAATAGAGAATTTCCTCAGTATTTTGAATGTAAAGAGAGTGAGGAAGTGCTTTACTGTTGGATTATGCGAAAAATTTTGAGAATGTTTCCGACAATCCCAGGCGTTACTTTTAGATTTATCACAAGATTAGGGGATATCTGTTTGAACTTTTAAAGTAATCTGAGGAATTTACGAGAAAATTTTAGCGTTGAGTAATATTATTATGCAAGACTATAAAATAACGTTTTCAGAACACCACTATTATTACAGTCGGCGAACAAAGTAGTTCGACTACGAAGGCGATGCCAATTGTTGAAACGACACTGTGGGAATTTCGACGGTTACAACTTTGTTGTTTTTACTATTCAGTGGTGTTTCAGGACTGAAAATGCAATAAGATATGGGGAGGACACATCTTTAAGAACTACTGCTCCCGAACTTCATCCGGTTCCTATTCATCGCACATGGAATAGCCGAATGTACGGTAAGTGGCAGTAGGTCAATTGTAATACGAACTAGTGCAGAGACACTTCTTGTCTCATATCTTGTTTGTAAGTTCGCGAGCGTGGAGAAACTGTGATTTACTCGAGATTTGATTGAGCTAAGAGATATGTAGAGTCAGGCTGAATCAATGAGGATATGCCGAGCGAAATGTTTTGCGTGAGTTTCGGCTCATTTCACCGCATTTTCGTTTTTGATTGGTGAAATAATCAATAAAAATAACAGATTGAAGCTTCTTTAACAACTAAAACAGCTTATAAGTTTGAAAGTTATAGATGCTTCAGATGTTGGACGTGGTATTGCTCGATTTCCCATAACATCACCGATGAACAAAACTCGTCATCAACAATCAAAACGTATCGGGAACACGCTTCCACTAAAATTTAACGCAATGAGGACAACATTATCGCCACAACGAGGTTATCACTTACGTCCATTTGGTCGACTGCATTCCATTACATGTTTATTCTTCGAAAGAACCATAGCTGCAACTATATATATTATATATATTATATAAGATATATTCAAACTTAGATCATACGTAAAGCGAAACGTCTGTCACTGTTCTACTCTTGCGATTTTTTCCTGTTTTTTTTTTGTTTTTTTCTATTTGACGTAAATGGTTCCCGCCTCAATTACATTAATCACGGCCAATAATTTAGAAATAGAGCCCGGGTTTTCTTTTCATAAAATCTGAATATTCCGGTGAAAGCACTGAGGTTTTAGAAACAAGGAGAACTAGCTTTTAACCTTGTAAGTAGTTGATCCTCGCGCCCATGGCCCACCAAGCCTTCCATCCTTTCGAGGTCGGTAAGCTGGTCGTAGCAAACTTGTCTGAGAGGACAACAGCACTGCCTCGATACATCGGTAGGCCACTGCGAGTCATTGTAAAGGCCAAGTATACAATGAAATACCTCCAAACCATTGTTAATGAAGTCGTATGCATGGCGCATCCCTCAGGGATTGATCAACGCCGAGAGCTTCGTCCTTTTTAGAGCTTTAAGTAGTTGTTATTTCTCTGCTATTTAAAAATATCATTCATTTCTGAAATAGGGAAATGAGCTTTATTTACTTGTTTTGACTATGAAAGAAAGGTTTAGGAAAATTTACATCGAATATGAATCGTTTTTTTCCTTTTTTTTATGCCATTTTTATGGCTATATGGACTACGTCGTAGTAATAAGAATAATGATGTAGCATACCTAATTTGGAATGTCTAAACAATCTCTTTTGCTTCTACCATAGGCAGCTATTCGTTTGCTATCATATTGAGCAAAGTCTACTTTAATTTTGAAATCGACCGTCATCTAACCTCGGTGCTATAATAATCATCATGTGTTTATATTGATGAACTTGCACGATGTTGATAGAGATGTTTTTTAGATGTATAGAGATGTAATATAAAGTCTACTTTGTTCTTTATGCATTTTCTTCTGTTTTTTGCCTTGTTTTTCTAGAGGGTTCTTGAAAGTCGGGAAATGAAATGTTTCCTGAAAATTTTTATCAGTGAACATATATTTAAAGGATCTAATGTGTAATCAAATTGGAGAACACAAAAAACTACTTAGTTGCTCGTCATTACTGAACAATCTCACTCGGATTCAGGAAGCGTTCTGCCGTCAGACTCACCATGTTGTATCTATCGCATTCCACCGGTGTATGACACAAGGCACACATGGCATCAAAAGTTGATACAGAGTGACGGCATTACACACACATACAATCCTGCTTATCCGTACGACAATATACCAAGAAATCTTATCGTCTACGATAACGCCCCCACGCCAGGTCATAGGTACTTATATGTTTCCAATATAAATTCTGGGACAATTATTAAGATTTAGTATTTATTAAGTATAGTATTTGGCGCATTTATACTTCAGTTTCCTCTAGTTTTCCTTTTTGTCTCCGCATATACTTTGCAGCTGAACTCTAACTGAACACCGAAAAAAGAAGCGTTCAATATCTGTTTTAAATTTCTAGCTGAATACAAGCTAACGTTAGGGTTGCGTTCCATCAACCATACCTCTTGATTAACCCTATATCACCTATGACTAACATTTTTCTAATGCGCACTGCTTAATGGCCGTGTTTATATTTAGCTTCTATCGACAGAGATTGATCTATATCCAATGAACTCGTTAGAGATCTTAAGGCACCATTACCTCTAGACGCCTTGATCACCGACTTCTTCAACCCGAAAGCAGTAAACGTATTTTGATTTCAATCCCTTTGTTTTTTTCACTCGCATTTCGTGAGAAAGTGACCATGGGTCGGCACTGGAGAACACGTGTTCACCCTCTAGTGGACATCCGAATAGAAGTGTAGACCAGATACCAAAGAGTTTGTATTAAAAACTTGGCTTTACCCGTAGGTCATTTCGGGAACAGACTTGTATTTCTATGTGGAATGTGATGTCAGATGGTACTTCATGTGTTTCTAATTTATTACAACAGCTTACCAACTGTCATCCATGTGCTGCAGTGCATCTGTAACAAATACGTTTCACCTTTCCCTTCACTGATTGAAACGTAGTTTTGAGCGATGCAGTAGCTCCTGTACATAACCTGCTTACACATAAGGATACCAAAGCACATGTGCATAGATGAGTTTCGCATGATGGTTAGTTTCAAGTTACGTTAATCAAGTTTCAAGTTAAAGTTACGTTTTTTCCTCCATTTTATGTAAAATTAAGCCGGTGGAGTCACGACTGTGCGTCAACGGTGGGAAAAGCAAACGGATCGTCATTTTTGGCATCTTTCCGCCAAGAACAAACTCAAACCCTTCCGACTTGTGGGTGTTTGTCTCATAAATGCTTTTAACCGGCTTTTTACAAGTTGCACTTTAATTGTTTAGTTTTTCTTGCATCCATTCTACTAATATTTTCTCCTAGCCCGTCCTCGGATGCGACCATCGGTCTTGAACACATTTCCTTCCACATTCGAGACTCTTGAAGAAAAGAGTCAGGACGACAAAAAAGGTTCAGGCTTCTTTAAACTTTCTCCTGAATTGAAACACCTTTCAGTTCAACACAGTTTCTCATCGATTGAAAATTATTTCTTCGTTGTTTTAGGTTGTTAATTTGACTATTTTTAGCACTAGAAGATTTCATTTTGCCACTTAGAATGCCCAACGAGTTTTTCCTAGCCTTCAGATTATCTAAGTAGTTGTGGGTTATATGATAACTGAGAAACCTATTGTGAAAACTCCTAACATTTCTTGAGCATCGTCGATTATTTGCGATCAGTTAGCTTTCTAAAACGTAACAAAACTATCAGATTAAAACGTAGGCTTGTCGTGCTGCATAAGATTAGATCTATTTGTAATATTTTCATCTATTTGAGAACTTTGTAAACGGAAGGACATCAAATTCTATAAGGAATGCCTATGTACGAGTGCTACTCTATTAATATAGCCCTTTCTCTTTAGACAATAGTTCTTTGCGGACTCGTGAAACTTTTAACGGATCGAATCTGAGTCCCCAATTCAGTTCACGCAAAACTTCGACAACGACGTTTGCCTGCTCTACATTTGGTCGATGTTAGTGTTTTTCTATAACATTTATTATGAATTTTACAAAGTTAACAGGATTATTAATAACGGTGCTCGACATTAGGAGGTTGACGTTGGTCTTCTTGCATGATAATTACCATAAATTTAGCAAAAATAATGAAGTCATTAATTACCAAGAAAGAATTTTCCATTCGTTGTTCGATTATTTTTAGCATTTATAGTGACATGCGTTTTTATTTGAGAAACAAATAATCTTCTTGCTCACTTTCGCAACAAATGAATTATTCTTTTATTAAACAAAAGAACCTTTGCTCATGTCGACTTCACGGCTAATACATCTGTTTCAGCATCTTCACCAGTTACTTTTTCACGTTCCAATCCTGCTGGTCGAGCACCTCTTGCTATGCCAGAGGAATTGACGGGCAGTACATCTACAAGTATTCTCAGCTCTAGTGTTACACCCGAACGCGAATCAACAACTGTAAGTCGTTTGAGAACTTAATGAGTTTTCTCATGTATGCACTTGACACAATCATCGATGTAAATTAGAAATCTTAAGAAATCCGGACTTTCAACTTGATGGTTACAGTTGGGCTATTCCGACCTCTTAAGCTTAACCAATAGTGAACGAGTTACCTATCCTAAGGGAGCCACTAAATCTTCTCTTATCATCCATTTAGAACTGTTTGAATAAAATTTCGTTTACGCTGAATTTTTTAGAATAAATATTCAAAATATTATCTAAGAGGAAATATATTTGGTCGCTCTACTTTACTCGTATTATAACACGAATTCTAGCAGTTGACCACTTCGAACATCTCTACAGCAACATCTTCGACACCAAACGCATTCGTTAGTGATTTTCTTTTTTTTTTTCTTTCAGATAACCTTTATACTGAACGTTGTTGACTTGACTATATTCACTTAGCAAATTGATCTGAACACGAAATTTCTTAGATTGACAGTCGACTCGGAAGAAACGATCGCTCAAGCATGGAGTTTTCCCTGTCAACACTTACAATTGATTATTCTGACGTACCTCCTTCTCCTGACTCTTCTCGGAGTAAAATCTTCAACAAGCTCTGTTCAAATGTAACTTTTTCCTTGTCTTTTGGATTTCGTTGTGGTCCTCAATTTGTTATACCGTTGCATGAAGCTATGGGCGCGTGTGGAGCAGTGGTCAGGAGCGCCCTGCAATACACACGTGGAATCGCTCACCCGCACCCATAGCTCAACAAGCCTTCCATTTTTCCTAGATCGGAAAATTGGTACCAGACTTGTCTGGAGGGATAACAGCACTGTCTCGATACGCCGGTAGCCCACCGCGAGTCATTGTAAAGGCCACAAATGCATTCAATCACCTCCAACGATACTTAATGAAGTCGAATGCATGGCTCAGCCCTCAGGAATTGATCAATGCTGAAAGCTTTAATTTTTTTGTTGTGCATGAAGCTAATGTCTAGCTCAGAAATGGATTTTCGTGTTCATCTTTCAGTCTAAAGTATGTGCCAAAATCTCCCCATCAGAGCAGTTGTCATTTTCTCCAGAAGCAACAGGTTAGTGCCATATTCTATTCAGTACGACTATTTCACTTTCTTTTCTGATTTCGTCTTCAATGAAGTACATGATATCTTCATTTTGTGGGCTTTCTCTCGTTTCTGGGTCAGTTTTCTTCACTTAGCCGAGTATATCCACATGGCGTTCTTGTTTTGTTAACGTCATCTTTATATTTTGAGCATTTAGACTTTTAGAATGTAGTGGTGGAACGATAACATCGTCGTGTTCATTGCCAGTGGTTTCGCGAATTTCCACCACTCCTTCGTCGGATACGTCGTTCTATAAGTTGTATCATCAGAATAGGTGTGTTGCTTGAATGTAGAAACATTTGCAGGTTTCTGTGGAACTTTTACCATATAAAGTTGATGTCAGTTTAAGTGGCGATGAAAGCCCATCAAGTGTAGTGAAAATGCGACCTGGTTGGGATGCAAACACAGGACGACTTTCGCAGATGGATTCGAATAAAGCAAGCGAGTTAATCAATGAAATCGAAGAGTGGAAAAAGGTGTGCTCCAATAGAAAAAGCGTGAAGTATAACTTAATACATTACATACTAACTCTTCTACTCCCTTACAGTGAATTTTCTAACTAGAAGGTGGCTACTAAATTAAGAGAAAAATGATTGTAAGGGGATCACTGTTGTGTTCACGGTTTTTTTTTGATAGAGTGGTGTTCTGATATATCCATGTCTATCTTGTTTTTATAATTACATTAATGTTCAATAAGTAAGTTGCAATAAACCAACAACTCATTGAGAGCCACAGAAAGTTTCATAGAGCTACCAGTTTAGAACTAGCTGTTATTTTATTATCTAATTTTCTTTGCTGCTCTCTTCACTTAATATTCCCTATTATTCAAAATTACAGTACTTCACTTCTCTCTTCACTGACCTTTAACTCTTATACGAAACTATACCTCTCCTATCTCACTTTTAATCGCATAACTAATTTATGGACTGAAGCCGGTGGTAAGGGAATTTAGTTGCGGTTTGTAAACAGCTGTGATGGCTCCGCTCATCTGAGAGAAACTGGTAGTGCATCATATTTTTTTGCAACAGTCACTCTATTTCTACTGTTTTTGTCGATAATACCCATGGATGGCTAGCTGGTTTTGGCAGTGAGTGGTTGCTATACTCTAGAGTAATTTGTTAGATTATACTGTAATAAAGGTCAGTCTTCATTATTGGACGCGATATCGCTCAACGCATTTCGCAGTGAGGTTCTTGAAAGAGATAGACATCTAAAACGTAATTTTAAAGATTTGAGTTATTAACAGAAATGTACACAAGCATGACTATGTGCATATAAACGCATGAAGGATAAATCGCTCGGCATTGATTAACCCCTGATGGATGGACCGTGTATTCGACTTCATTAAGCATCGTTAGAGATGATTGAGTCCATATCTAGCCTAAACAGTGACCTCTACTGGTTACTGGTGAAGCATTTCAGTGCTGCTATCTTCTCAGAGAAGCCTATCACCAATTTGCCAACCTCAGAGGGGTGGAAGGCTTGATGAGAGGCACGAGATCGAACGAAAGATCAACTGCACACGTCCCTGGCCAATTGTTTTATATTTAACGTTCGCTTGTTGATTTTCTTGCATATACCGGCATTCTACTTTAATATCAACGGACCCAATACAGTTTTAACTGCAATAGATGAAAATGCTAATGAAAATACTGATGTTTTCAGATCGATGATATCCTTTCGTCGTTTGGTGGTGCTGTTTGCCGAGAGTCGGTATTTGCAGCCAACTACGAATCGCAGGTGGCCGTATTTTTGAGGGATCGTCGTACTCAAGCATTAACACTACAGCTCACTTCACAACCGTCAGCAAATCGTCACAGTTGCAATACTTCGTCTCCATCAACTTGCAAACCTGAATCGGTCAGTTGTATAATCTTCTGTAATTTCCTAATTTGTTTCGCAAGTCCTTTTTTGTACTGAGTGCTATTCCTCTCTTTTTATTGTTTTTACTGTATTAAATGTGGATTTCTTGTTTTAAGGATGAGTATTGTTCCTTAGGATGAAATAAGTTCGAAAATGAGTGTTGAATGTGTAAGACCTTGTAGTAGAAAAAACCTAGTTGATTAGTAGAAAAAAATGATCGACTGATTTGATAGCATGGGAAATTGACGAAAAATTTTCAGAAACCTCAGGCAGCTCTTTATTGATGTATCTACATATGAACTTATTTAGTACTTTTTCCGGTGTATAGTAAATTCGAGAGCGTGTGGCGCAGTGGTCGGAGGCGCCGTGCAACACACACGTAGGATCGATCCCAACGTTTCTGGTTCACCAAGCCTTCCATCCTTCCGGGGGCGGTAAATTGGTACCAGACTTTTTTGGAAAGATAGTAGCACTGGCTCGATACATCGGTAGGCCACCTCGAGTCATTGTAATGGTCAGATATGCATTCAATCACCTCCAACGACACTCAAGTAAGTCGAATGCATGGCGCGCCCCTCAGGGATTGATCAACGCGAGGAGTTTTATTTTTTTTGTAGTGATATTCATGTATAAATAATTAGATATTTTCTGAACAAAAAAATCGCTTGCAGCATTTTTTTCTAGCAAATTTCTCCAATTTTAGCTACTTCTTTTTTAAGGAACAAATCACAGTAAGTCAATGGCTGTGCACAACAGTGGGCATTCCAAATCCAAAAGCTGCGGAAGTTGGTCAGATTTTAACCCGAGCTGGATTTGATAGGCTTACGCAACTGGTGAGCATTAGAGATTGTTGCTTAATATCCGTATTATTAAAATGTTAATCAACTACTAAAATCATCTTTGGGGGACATATTAGAAGCGTAAGTTCCCTACAGTAATGTAATAAAACACTCGACAACTTAAAATTACAATAATCGTCGTCTTAACTATTATTAACACTATCGCAACAAATGAAACATATAGGTGTCGTAATGTGTCGTAATGGTTTCGCGCAACCGGCCCGTAAGACATCTATGGGTGTCATTTTCTTAACGGTGGTTTATTTTGATGCACAGTAGTTTTTTCCCACACTTCTTGCAGTCAATCGATTCCTTATCCAAGGCAGAAACTATGGTGCTCATAATCCATGGGAGGGTATCTTCTTAACAACTTCTCACCAATTTCTCTATTTGCCGCGGAAAAGTGTTTCTGTTGGGGAGAATGTGCGGCTTTGAGAGTGTAGACAGCGAAGAGGTACGGAAATGCCTCTGCCTCGAAGAACTGGCAGCGTTTTCAGTGTGCAGCATAATTTTTGATTAGAATTTCGTTGTTTACTATTTTTCAACGGCTATGACGACTTTTCGGTATTGTTAGGAATGAACGGATATCAGAAGTATGAGATGAACATTGTAATATTACTTGCAGTACGTATCCAACTTCATTAATGTTGAAACAGCAGTACATTTGCATAGTGGACGAGTACATTTCTTCATGCATAATAGTTGTATATGCTGCACGACAAATACGGGACAGTCTGTAGAAGAGAATGAAGCATACGTAGGATAAGGAAAGCGCAGAAATTTTTTTTAAAACGGAGACAAAATCCGATTTATAGGACGGAAATCACATCAAAGGGACGCCTTTCTAAAAAACATTCTTAATTGGCGATTCTGACATCTATCGGTATCACAGAGAGAGCTCAGGCAAACATTAGGTGTCGCCCATTCTCTAGGGGGTGAAATTTGGCGTAGTCGCTGGAGTGTTAAATAAAGGTCACTAGAACATATGCTTCATTTTCAAGTTCATCGTATTCATCGTCCATCTTCTTCATTCAACTCTTAGCCCGGTTTTCAGATGTAGGTGTGGAGATCCTTCTCAACAAGAGTGATTGTACTAGAGTGATGAACTCCCGTAGTACGTCGCAGTTCGACAACCAGAAATGTCTCTTATTGCATGGAATTATTAGATATTTCTAGTGGTCTCTAAATAATTTAAAAACGGCGACAAGTTATTATGTGACTTTAGTGACGTATTCGGTTTTAGTCCAGTCCTTTGTTTCTGATTTGAAATATTCCTGCTGCTATAATACAGAGAAATTTGCAAAACTTGGTGATTACGTTAGGTAGAAAACTGGCTGAGAGGAAGGCAGAAAGAGGCGCACAGTGGTGCCGTACGTAGCACGTGAGCCACTGGAAAGGCACGCTTCGGTCTGGCCTGGGGTCGAAGTTTCGCAATTATTTTATCTTGGCATCATAGTGGTTGTATTTCGCATCATACCCTGCCGTGAGAATTAATAATAAGCAGAAAATAAGAGGTAGACATTCTTGATAATGTTAGTAGAAGTTCGTGGCTTACTAATATGATGAGGTTTTTTCTCATTGTGATGATTAGATTTTAGAAACCCACCGTAGAAAACGTCATATACAACTAAAATAATTCTGAGATGTTTGCAAAATCCACACCCAGGCCAACCTGGCTGGGAGAAAGACAAAAGAAGTGCGTAGATAATGCAGTGAGTAACACGTTTGCCCCCAGAAAGGGTGATCGCGGGCTTGAATCTGGAATGAGGTTTGAGTTTTGCAAATATCTTGGCATCATCGTGTTTCTATTTTACGTAAAACCCTGCCATGAAAAAATAATAGGCAGCAAGTAGAAAGTTAGATAAAGTGTCAGATACTTTAGCATGGCTGTTTGACGACTCGAGAACTATCGGCTCTAGGAATCGAAAAACCGATTCAGCAACAAATACTTTCATATTTGGATAGTGTCAGGAGTGCCAAACCGAATGCTTGTTAGTTTGTTTTTGGTTTGGTTACTACATTCTTTTGAAGGCACCTCTAACATTCTAATGTGTTTCACTTGTTTTAGTGCTTTATCGTGCAGTATTTGATGACGATACTGTTGATTTAACGTTATTTCTCTGGTTATTACTGAAGGAGTATCATAACATAGTACAATTTACATGAAATCGGATTTGTTTCAGACAGTTTCAACTATGTTTCTGATTGGCTGTGCTCGTTAGAGTTAACAGATTATCTTGGGAACTTTGTCACTGCAGGCTTGAAGACGATGGTTCTTGTGCGAAATGTAGGGCTTACACGAGATCACTTGGAGGTTCGGGTTTATAATTGATAAAGTTCGTTGGATTTTATCTACTCGAAGTTTTCAGTGTAAGCTGATATGCTTGAGGATTTTCGTTCCTGTTTTCTTGTCCATTTTTTTTTACTAAGTTCATGACTTTCAGAAAATTGGTATAACTCTACCGGGTCATATTGCCCGTATTCTGTATTCATTGATGAATACCAAGCTTGACGAAATTCATCAAAAGAAAGAGGAATTAAAGAACAATCGTGAACCTGGAATTTCGTCCACGTCAAATATTCTGACGGAAATTCCATGCGAAACAACGTATGTGGCTGATTGTGTTTTTCTTTCGTATCGTTTGAGTGGAAAGTATGGTAATAACGTATGGCTTGGGAGTGATAAGGACTGTAGAAGTGGCGTGTTTCTGGTTTTAGTATGTCATTTGCTGAGAACGACGACACTGAAAATGGTGATCCAGCAAAGATTGACTTACTTCACAGTCATGCATCATTCTTAGCTCATTACCTGGGTAGCATGGAAATCTCCAATATCGACGGTACAGAGGAAAGCCGACGAGCGATGGTAAAACTTAAGGTACATTAATATTACTATTAGTTCAGATCTGCAATTTAAATGTTCCAAAAGGTTTTTGCTGTTGTTTTACAGAAGGCAATACGCGTAATTGCCAAAGTGCCACAGGTCATCCTGGAAATATCGATCCACGGTGTCCGTATACTCGACGGAAGAACCGGGGTAATTCTTGTACAGTGTTTCAGTTCGGATGTCATTGTACAAAGTTGTATAGAGAACATAAATAAAGAACGGACCTAACGACCAAATGAGAAGTGGAAAAAGTGAAATTTAAAGAAAAGTAGATGTGACAGAAAAAAACATTGATTAAAATCGTTATCGGATCTCTGTTGTTTCACTGGAAGTAGGAAAAAAATGAAAAGTCATACACGCTAACATTTACACTTCGTTTTTACAGTTTGCAAGATAATTTGCACATTGTAAGATGTGGTGACGAATTTACTATCTTTTATCATTTTTTATTCTTATTATTGTAATGATTTCCACCGTTCTTATTGCTGTTAATACGGATATTATTTCCTTAATACTTTCCTATGGATCGGCGGTGGAAATTCATGTTTCAGCGACTGGCTGTTGAACACGAAATCTCGCAAATCCAGATTGTGTGTCAGGATGAGAGGGATCTCAACTGTTTCACCTACATATCCCAGGATGTGGAGAAGAATTTGTGTCATGTGTTCTGTGTTCTCACCGCGGTATATATTCTTCATAAAAATACGAAAATTTCAGGGTAAAATATTGGGAAAGCCATTATTTAGAAGAATCAGTATCCATCACGTCAAGAATCGCTACTTATTCCTAATTTTTGTTGCTAATTTATTAATTTATATGACTAAGATACGGTATCGCGTGCTGGGGAGAGTACGGGCAAGGGCTGCTACTATTGTTCCAAAGAATTATATGGGATCAGCAAGGCCCCTTGCTTCTTCCACGAAAAATTGTTCCTAACACAAGGGTGTAATAAAATCGTGAAATCTAAGGAAAAATTTCCCGAAACAGTTGCAAACTGGGATTTATCTTGTTTTCTAGCCTGCCTTTGGGAAGGTACTGTTATCGAAAATGTGAAGAATATCGATGACCTTCACGAAAATGTTAAGAATTTAGAAATTTTCAAGGTTACAAGAAGACTTTTAGAAGGAAGAAGAAGGAAGGAAGAAAGTTACAAGCGTGTTTTCAGTAGTTTTGAGCTCACAAAATTTCGCAGAGTCACAGAACTAAGCAGAGAAACAACCACAAAGTTTCTCAGAATTTGTGAAGTTATCCAGATAAGCGACAAAACGTTGAAACTGAGGAGACACGAGCAAGCGCGCAGGCAAACCTGCGGAAGTTTAGAGGAGCACCTTGAACGTTTTCCGAGATTTCTAATGACATGGCCAAGATGATCGACCTCGTAGTCACCGATTGAACCGTTGCTGTCTTTAGATAGATGGAAAATTTTCCACTACTTCTATTTACCATTGTTGCTTAAATCACCGCCGTATTGTGCTTTCATATCAGATCAGTGAGGAAGAAGTCGTTTCATTTGTTTTCCATTCCAAAGTACGACATCGCTTCTCTTCGAGGAGGAACTGTACAGCTTCCAGTTTGGACAGAAACAGTCATGGACATCTAGTGAGCCATTGCCAGTACTCGTCAACACCATTGCTGGCATGTCCACATCTTACATGCTGTGTGCATTGTTCGAAATCAATTGAGAACTATCTGGACCGCATCGTCGTTCATCGGGAGAAAAAATAACAAGATGGTACCAGTATTTTTTAGACCGAAACTACCAATTTCCATTGGTCTTTGCAAAATCGTTGTCTGACGATCACTACGCAAAGTAGTTCCTTGAATTCTATGTGGTGCATGTATCATTGACGCAATTATTTTTGCTGTTTGAACAAAAAAGACATATCGACAGTCAGATAATCGCAGCTCATACAATCGAGACATTGAATTTAATTGAATTCCAATGCCTTTAACACAAATCGCCATTAACCTCTCAGTGTATCTCACTCTCTTACGCAGCAGAGGTAGATAGAATGACGCCTACATCAATAGCTTGTCTTCTGTTTCTTGTAATTGTGCATCAAATACGGAAATCTCTGCATATTACATTGATTGTGGTAAAATGGTGAAATGCCTCATTTTCAGGATGTCGCTACGGAGATCATCGTCACATTAGGACAAGCCTTTGAGCTCGCCTACAAACTGCAAAATGGTCTCATTATGGAGGAAGTCGCAAATGTGTAGCGATTTGGGTGAAAAGCTGGAATTTTGTATGAACTTAAGTGTGAGATCTGTGTTTGGTGCTTACACGGTGCATCAGTCTATTTTACATACTTTAAAAAAGTGTTTGCCTTTCACATGAATTTCAATTCCTTTTAACAACTGCGTAATGGATTTCTAAAGCATTTTTTTGTGTCGTTTTCTTGTTCAGCATTTTTTTGTCTTATTCTAATAACGTCCTAAGAGATTTTCCATCACATCAAATGTGAAAAAAATCTTGGCACTTTAGTCAAATGAGGAATATTTATAAATATTCATTTTCAGAAGTTTCTATAAAATTGAAGATTTTTCATGATGCAATACTTCCGGTTGGCTTATCGGAGAGTATCTATTGCTTCGGACTCTTGGAAAGTCATGAATTCTTATTCTTGTCATTGTCATAATTGTAAATATTGATTGTTTTTGAACAGATTTTTCGACAGAATAGCGCACATTTGTTGACAAATTACTGCATAAATTACTTTAGCAATTGTGGATTGTTTTGGACAAATGGAACCGTTGTTGCTACAACAATGCAGGTGAAGAGCGGTAATTACCTATTAATTGGTGTTATCGATCCAATTATTTACTTACTTGGATACTTGGACGGCCCGTCCTCACTGGTTGTGCGGAGCGCAGCAAAATCCCGATTTTTCGGAGTTTTGCTGCTTTAGCCATTGTGGTTCTCTGTAGTCCCGAGGTCAGGCAGGCCAAAGACTGCCTCAGTTAGCCACCACCACAAGCAGTTACCGCCCTTGTGGATCAGATGGAGATTTGCTACCATGCGATTAGTTTCAAGACCAAGACGGTTGTTGATTCTGGAATTCGTTTACTCTTACCTGGGCTTCCTGATGGAAATGCCTTACTCCTTCCCAGCTTGGGAGACCATGCCGGGGTATGGATCCCCCAGCTGTATGTCGCAGCCCGACACCCAGGAACAGCTCAACCACGACGACGCAGTAAGCCGCTGGGAGGTGTCGATCCAAGTAGAGCAACCAATTCATAGGATGATTTCTGTGGCGCGTGCATCTGTTAGTATTGGTAGAAAGAAGCTATGTCCACAGCCAAACTTACTGTAATATGAGGGCAAAACAAAGTAACTGTCGACTCCCTCATTTCGTTGCTCACGAAACAGACCCGGTTGTATGTATGGCTACTGTTCTGGGAGGAAAGCCGCCGGCAAACCAATGCATGTGGCCAGCTGGATCAAGAAGAGCTCGTCCTAAAACACATATTGTTTCACAGAGTTTATCCGACCGTCTGTAAGATTGCACACGTTTGCGTTTTTTTGTAAAATTAATCGGTTATAGCCCACCTCCAAAAGGAAAAAAAATCTCTGACCAGTGAAGAACGTCGAGCGTGGTCATCCTACCTAAGAAAGGTGACCGAAAGGTAACTATCGTCCCGTAACTATATGCTTGTTGAGTGTTTTCTGAAAGTTCTTCAAGATTCCTCAAATGGAGATTACTGGGTGTGACTCTAGCCCAAAGCAGAACAGTGGACTGGTCGATTCAAATGTTCGTCGGACTTGAGACTCCTGCTAGAATTTTGTTGGCAAGTTCAGCAATCTCTATTCCGTAGGTGTCAACTTCTTCATCACAAGTTGCATTGTAGTCCAAATAGTGGTGAACAGCGGTTTTTATTAAACATGTACCTTGCATGAATTTTCTATGTGCCGGACGTGTATTCCGAAACTCCTTCAGCTGCGGAAATTAGTCTAACTATTGTTATACATTGACCTTTGCTGAATCTTTTCATCTCTTTTACAGCGGTCGCTTCCAGTTACAGATGCTGCAATAATTCATAAAAATACTCTTGGCCAAACTGACTTTTTGATCGGGATGGGCTCAAGTTCTCACCACACACATGTATACAGAGCAGGGGTGGTCTCACACCTTACGAAACGGAAACAGTGAGTGGTTTTTAAAGGATCAGTGCTTATCTTTATGTTAGATCTCCACTAAAACGTAGCGAAAGCATTGAATTTTATGTTTAGAGCTAAATAAAATATGTGCAAGATCTGAAGGAGGCGAGTTCGCCAAACATCAGCAATTAAGTTTCTAAATATGGTTCAGCAACCGCGCATCGGCTTAAACATGAAAGGTCGCAAGAAGTTTATTCAGTGTCGTCGGCGTCACACAGATACCAGTCACTGTCAGAATTACCAATGAGTTTTGTGCTGGATAGATGCTAACCAATGAAATTCAGAACATGTGTCAGCAATCTTGTGCGAGCTCAAAAAATAAGAATTCGTGAGATAAGAAATGAGAGTTTTCTCAGCGCCAGCAGCGCTATGCAGTTTCCATTTATGGAAAGGCGTATCCTATACGAGAGAATCTTACGGCTAAATTACATTATGACTTCTATTTAACAACTAACCTCAAAGAGCAAACCAGACGTTCAGAGTGAAATGACTAAACCAAATAGCTTAAAATGCTACTTTTTCCCTAATCCAGTTTTTCAATAAAAGCAAGCATTACAAAAATAATACAGTTTTGCTAGGATCATACAGTTTTGGAAAATGGTAAAACCCATCTTGTAACAGTTTCCAGGGTCGACTTTCTATTAATCTCCGCATTGGGATATGAATGTATTGTTTTCTTGTTCAGCAATAGCGAAGTTGTTATACAGCACACATTTAGTTTCATAGAAACACACACAATAGGATACAACAGTAGCTGACGTTTTGGCAGTATCGCCTTCTTCAGAGCCCCTTTTTTACGCGACTTCCAATAACGATGATTAGAACAGCCGATTACAGCCGCATATGGTTGATGACACTGACTTATAGGAAGGCTTCCTGACGAGCCAAGCAATGCAAGGAAATGGGATTGGAACAAAACCCTCGACCACAGCAGGATTCGAACCTGCAATTTTGTGCTCCGTATGCAGATGCGTTATCCATCGCACCACGAGGGGACTTCCTTTTTATATGTCACTTGTCCGATTACATCTTCTTGAATAGTTACCGAAAATTACAATATCAACATTGCAATATTACAATAAACAGACATGCAACATAATCGTAGCTGACGTTTCGGCAGAATTGCCTTCTTCAGAGCCGTTTCTACGTGCCTTCCACTGAAGAAGAGCCGTTGGTCAGCGCTGCATATGGTTGACGACTCCGAAGAAATGGTTCTGAAGAAGGCGATTTTGCCGAAGCGTCAGCTAAGATTGAGTTGTATGTATGTTACTGTATGGAAACAAACCTACGCCGTTTAACAACTTCGCGATTGCTGAAAGAGAAAAGGACGAATTTGTAAAACCGATGCTCATCGAGTTTTCTAACAGCCCTGTTCATGTTCATGTTGTTCTGTTCGCTGTTCATAGCCACGCAAGCTGCAGAAATGCTCAAGAAATGAGATTGCGAATCGATGAAGAAGGAATTTGAGACAAGTCACGTAATCCAACTTAAGCCTCCTATCAGCTAATCAGACCATTAGTTAATGTTAGCCGCTGGGAAGGATAATAGCGTTTTCAGTCCTCAACGCAGATAACTACTGTTCGGAGTTTTGAAAATATCTCAGCACCACTGCGAGTGTTTTTCACACAGTACCCCGTCTTGAAAAATTGTAATACGCACTGGACAAAGAGTTAACATTAAGACCTTAGCGCTGCGGAAGAGAAGGAGAAAAATTTCTACGAACTACGTTTTATATAGACAAAGCAACAACACCTATTTTTTATGCGCAACAGCTAGGATATTAATAAACCTACGAGCTGGATCCAAAAGATCAACTTCGTATAAATTTTAGCATAATAATCGGTGTATCTGTATATATATATGTTTTAATGAAATGCTCTTTTTTTAAGCCGACGCGAGGTTGGTATAGATGTTCTTATTGTCGTTGCAGGCTTTGTTCAACAATGGCTAACGTTTCGGCGACTTCTTCGCCGTCAAAGCCTTGCCGCTGGACCACCTGTGTGTTGTTCACGTTATCCCCGAAGTGTGTATCTTGAGTCTTAGCCACTACTTTACGAGCCCAGTGCTGGTTCGACCCAGTCTCAGGCTCTACAACCTCTCATCACTTCTGAGGTTCGAGTGTCACCGGAGTACAGTGGGTCCATTTCTTTTCCTGCAAACCACGTCGTAACCCCTTACCAAATTTCAAGATTTCGGGAAGACTCAGCTTGACTACCATTCAGTAACATTCCTTGCGAAAGCGTTAATATTCTAAAGCAGCAGCCGAACCACACACGAAATCGAGGACCTTCGTGGCAGATGGATTGAGGAAACGAAATGAATGCAAGAAGAGCTGGAATCCGCAAAGTAATGTGAAGACGGATCATGTAAAATTCAAAAAAAGTGTCGTAGATCGTAATGGTTAATTTGATTGAAAAAACCATGCCATTTGTATAGGCACTGCTAAAGACCGATACTACATAAACTTGATTTTTCGAATGATGGTCTTCCCTCATTGCGCACGACGGATAGAGGGTTCGGCGTTGATCAATTCATAGGGCTTACTCCATGTACTCAATTTCGCCAAGCGTTGTTAGAAGTGAGTGGCTGTTTATCTGACAAATAATATATGCATATACCTACGGGGGTCATTGGATGCACGAGGCTAGTGTTTTTGTCTTGTCAGATATTTCTGGTATCAGTCTGCTAGCCCTAAAGAATGAAGAAAGGTTTACCTGTGACACGAATTCGATTCATTTACCACGGGTGTAGTTCAAGACACTGCTAACAACTGGGCTTATTTTTCACAATCTTTCAAAATTTTCTCGCCATTTCTTGTGTTCTTCTTCCCTGCTTAAGATTCGCTGCTGAAGCTATCGTACATTCATCTAAAGTACTTCTTCACTGAACAATTGCTGTAGTCGTTTTCGCGAGTGTCTAACTTTTTTCTAAAAAGAAAATTCTAATTCATCTTCACAGCTTCTCTTCAGATCAAAGAAAGAATGAGATTGCAGTTTTCTCAAGGAGCGAATATTCTTGTCCATGTCATAGTCTTGCTAGTTCCTCTTGGATCAGCTGATTC